TTTTTTTAATATTTTATTGATTTTGTACAGAGAGGGAGAGAGAGAGATACAAAGTTAGAAACATCGATGAGAGAGAGTCATCGATCAGCTGCCTCTTGCACACCCCCTACTGGGGATATGCCCGCAACCAAGGTACATGCCCTTGACCGGAATCGAACCTGGGACCTTTCAGTCCCCAAGCCGACGCTCAATCCATTGAGCCAAACCGGTTTCGGCTGTGAAACTATAGCTTAACAAGAAAAGCACCGAAGAGTTACAAAAGCTTTTGGCGTGCAGGCAGGCACTTTCTTCTTGACCTGTAGGCTGTGCTGGGACCGAGGAAAAGCGAGATACCCAAACTTCAATTTCAGCCTAAGGGCCTTGAGCTAGTTGGATAAATCTAGTCACCTGGAATTGGTTTTGTTCTACTTTTGTTTTGTTTTTTAAGAGAAAGTTTATTTCCGAAGTCACAGAAGTAGGGTAAGTGAGCCAGTTGTGTATGGGCTTAGGAATCAAGTTACAGAGGCAAAAAGAAAGGCCCTTGGAGCTTAGGAAGAGAAAGGAAAAGATAACACACCCTGTGAGGGGAGAAGGCGGGGCGGGAGAGCTGGCTTTTTTTTTTTTTTTTTTTTTTTTTTTTTTTTTTTTTTAATGCTGGTACATACTTAAACAAGCAAAAAAGTTTGCTGACATTCTTTAATTCTAAAGAGCTTTCAGAATATCAGACCTATAATGTCAAGAAAAGGTGACACTTGGGCAATAATATTTAATCAACAGATTCTGCATTCTGAATGGGCTCCAGCCCAGCAATTTCATGTTTCAATGGTTATTAGTGATTTCGTCAGAAACACCTTAGAGCCCAAGCTGGCCTAGCCAAAGGGAGGAGGTTTTTTTTGTTTTTTTTTAAAACAAATACTTATTGCCAAAGTACTAAATATAGAGTAAAGCCTAATAGTTTTATTTTCAGACCAAGTGATAGTATCCAAGAAGCTTAGTTATCACTCCTTTTGGTAGTGTCTTGATTCGTGTGTGTGTGTGTGTGTGTGATTTGCACATGCATGTACTTATTTACCCTGCACACATGACATAAGTCCTTAACCTGGCCAGGTTCCCAAAACTGCAGAGGAGATCTGTGTTATTTTACAGTTCCTCTGGGTCAACATTTTTAAGGACACATATCCTAGTGGTACTAAAATGCCAACATCCATTTATTCTTTTCTTTCAGTTCCCACACATTTGTTTTGACCTTGAGAGCAGCCTCTCATTCCCCGGGGGCTGTCAGCTCCCGTGTCAGACCTCCGTGTGACTGGGTCAAGATGCTCACAGAATAGGGTAGGTGTATCGCCGAGGGAAGAAAGTGATACTTCTAGAAAAGGCTGTGAATTTGAAATTTGATTTACAGCTCTGAATGCTGGGACTACGCACTTTATAACCTGTTCACGTCCCTATCATACTGGAAAAAAACAGGACATTTCTAAATAGGAGAGAAGAGCAACCTAGATGCCATTTTAATGTAAGATAATTGAGAGTGAATCCAAAAGCAAGCTACATCAAAGTGAGTGGGGCAAGATAATAATTTCTTACATTGATTAATTTTTATAGTTTGCAAAGTGAATGCATGTTCATATCTGTAGGCCAGACAGGTATTAGAATCATTTAATGGTTCTGAGACTGAGTTCAGAAGGGATAAGTGACTCCAGAAAGAGCCAATATGAGAATGCAAATCTGTACTTAAAAACCAATGTAAGGAACACTTCCCATGTACCTGGTGCTGGAGAATCGGAGATGAATAGGACCGGTTTCTTACCCTTGAGGATTAATCTAGACATACGTGTATTCAGAGGCTCATCACTAGAGACATTAGCCCTTTCCCAGTGACAGATCTCCACAAGCTACCCCTTCACCCTCAGGGGCCCCTGATGACCTTGCTGAGGTAGTTTGATCTCAACCCCTTACTGCCAGGCCCTGCCCTGCTGCTCTCTCTCGGCTGGTACTACTCTAGCTTTACTCTTTATTTTGGAAATATATGCCAATTTACTGTATTTTTTTCTGGCTCTAGAATTTCCATTCATTAATTTCTTTTAATATATATAATTTATATATATCAATTTTATAAAAATATATAAAATATATGTTTTTTATCAGAGAGGAAGGGAGAGGGAGAGAGAAATAGAAACATCAATGATGAGAGAGAATCATTGGTCGGCTGCCTCCTGCACGCCCCCTACTAGGGATCGAGCCCACAACCAGGGCATGTGCCTTGGCCAGAATCGAACCTGGGATCCTTCAGTCCACAGGTCGACGCTCTATCCACTGAACCAAACCAGCTAGGGCAGTGGTCGGCAAACTCATTTGTCAACAGAGCCAAATATCAACAGTACAACGATTGAAGTTTCTTTTGAGAGCCAACTTTTTTAAACTTAAACTTCTTCTAATTCCACTTCTTCAAAATAGACTTGCCCAGGCCGTGGTATTTGTGGAATAGCCACACTCAAGGGGCCAAAGAGTCTCATGTGGCTCTAGAGCAGCAGTTTGCCAGTCACGGGCCTAGGGCAACCATTTATTCATTTCTTTCCTGATATTTTCTACTTTTCATTTATTCCAATGAAATATTTGTCTTTGCTTTGTTGAGCATAGTTGCAATACATCCTCTAAAATTCTTATCTGCCAATTTTAACATTTGGGTCATCTTGGGATTGGTTTGCATTCATTCTTTTTTTCTTAAGACTGCGTCACACAGTCTGATTTTTTTAAAAATGTCAAATGATTTTGAATTGTGTGCTAGACATTCATACTGTAAAGACTCTGAATTTTGTTTGATTCTCACAAAGAATTTTGGTGCTTAACTTTTTCAGACAATATCTTTGGACTCAAACTGCAGACTCTTCCTCATGAACAAAAAGCTTTAATAGCACCTAAGTTCTCTTATCTTTCCAACACATGCATGGTTCATTCAAGAGTCACCCAAAGCCTGAGGCAGAAATTACATTGGAATTTAGGGCTGCCCCTCCCTCGAAATCTCATCTCACTTTTCCATTTCTATGGTTGCCCTGAACTCTGTCCTTTGGTTCATGGGGTAGAAGGACTTGTGTGGGCTTCCTATCTGAGTCTTAGCCATCCTTTATGTCTCTGACTTATCTTCTCTCAAGTAAACACCAGTAAAAACAAGAAACCCAGTGATGTCATCCTTTCGATATCATTCATTTTTCCCCTCCCCAACACCACCTTGTGAACCTCAACACCTTTAGGTCATTGATTTCAGGAATGAAGGGGTTTATAATTTTATTCTAGGGGATGGTTGGGCCTGGTAGAACATCACAGAACTATTTTTTCTTTTTTTCAGAGAGGAAGGGAAAGGGAGATAGAGATAGAAACATCAATGATGAGAGAGAATCATTGATTGGCTGCTTCCTATATGCCCGCTACTGGGGATCAAGCCCACAACCTGGTCATGTAACTTGACCGGGAATTAAACTGTGACCTCCTGGTTTATAGGTCGATGCTCAACCACTGAGGCATACCGGCCGGGCCAGAACTGTCGTTTATAGCATTAGGCCTTTGTGTAAGTTTCTGCCTGCAGGAAGGTTCCACCACAGAAAAATAAAACCAAAAATTTGAAAATCCACTATATTTATCCCATTTCAAACCAATTTTTAAATTCTCTAACATCAGTAATAGGTGACCTGCAAATCTAGTCTTTGCTGCGAACACTGCCAATGTTGGAGACCCGGCCCTTTTCCCTCTGTGGTATCTCTCCCCACTCCTCAGCTTCCCAAGACCAACAAAGGCTCTCTGTCTGACTCCCCTTAATGGCAAAATTTTAGCAAAGCTTCTTGGAAAGAAAAGCTGGTTGAACACCAGCAGCTAAGAGTTGCATTTCTTTGATGAACATTTAAAATGGATGGTTTTGGTGGAAGAGAGTTATAAAAGGAGGAAGCGTGCAACTGAGCCTTTATTTTGACTTCTGGCTGATCCTCCCAGAGCCTGTTTGGCCTGGTGTCTGCCACAATGCACGTAGCATTCTGGAACTAAGCCAAGGAAGGCCATCGGCCATCAGCCTGGACCGTCTGCCACTGCACTGACCTACTGAGGAAGGAGACAAGAAGATAACTGGGCTTCCTTGTAGTTATAGTAGAAGATAACCCGAGTGACAGTGGGTCAGGCCCAGATATGATGAGAGATTCGGGGCATTCTCTTGTGTAAACAAACTAAAGATAGTAGAGGAATACTACAGTCACATGGATGCTGGTCATGGTAATTGGAGCCCTGGGTCCTACACTGGATGTGCCTGTCACTCCCTAACCTTTAAGAAGTCTCCTCAAGCCGAAACCGGTTTGGCTCAATGGATAGAGCGTCAGCTTGGGGACTGAAGGGTCCCAGGTTCAATTCCGGTCAAGGGCATATACCTTGGTTGCGGGCATATCCCCAGTACGGGGTGTGCAAGAGGCAGCTGATCGGTGACTCTCTCTCATCGATGTTTCTAACTATCTCTCTCCCTTCCTCTCGTAAAATAAATAAATAAATAAATAAAATAAAATAAAATTCTTTTTTAAAAAAGAAGTCTCCTCAATGTTCGATGTAATTTCCCATCAGGAGGGATGGGTTCCAAGGAGAGGCAAAGTGGAGAAAACGTACACGTGAAAGCATGAGGAGGTAGAAGTCATAGAGCCTGGAAATGATTCGTTTGTGTCGATGGCGGCTACGATAGCATAGAAATCACTCTTTCCCTTCATGTCAGGTTCTCAGGCCAGAGCTTGAAGAGTGTATTATTCACCTCTGTTCCTCTGAGGAGCAGAGTTTTGAAAGTGTTTCCTTGTCTCACAACCTAATGTATTTTTGAGTTAGTTAATTCTCTGGTAAAGTCTGCAGCCCATCCATGCATCCCCTGCTGTTCCCCACCCGCCCTCCTCCTAAGAGAACAAAAGAACAACGGTACAATGCACTCTCTCTTTGTCTCTTGAGCCTTTTTAACCCGTTCTCTTTTTTAAACTTTTTTATTTTAAAAAAATATATTTTTTCAGATTTAAAACCAGCCAATGCGACTGGGGGCCCTCGGTCATTTTACCTCAGGAATTCCGAGGATGTATTTGAACCTTTCCCAGTGGACGACTATGAGGACAGAAGCGGCAGTGGGTTCACCGAAGGCGGCTTAAACTCCACCAACCACAGCAGGCCTCTGCAGAAACGACCCCCCGAGTACATCTCCAAGGAGGCCTCGGGATACCTGACCAGCGCCTGGCTGACTGTCTTCGTCCCCTCCGTGTACACGGGCGTGTGCCTGATCAGCCTTCCCCTGAACGTCATGGCCATCGCCGTGTTCATCGGGAAGATGAAGGTCAAGAAGCCGGCCGTGGTGTACATGCTGCACCTGGCCACGGCGGACGTGCTCTTCGTGTCCGTGCTGCCGTTCAAGATCAGCTATTACTTCTCCGGGAGCGACTGGAAGTTTGGGTCCGAGATGTGCCGCTTCGTCACCGCGGCCTTCTACTGTAACATGTACGCCTCCATCATGCTCATGACGGTCATCAGCATCGACCGGTTCCTGGCCGTGGTGTATCCCATGCAGGCCCTCTCCTGGCGCACCATGGGGAGGGCGGCCTTCACGTGTGCGGTCATCTGGGCCATGGCCATCGCCGGGGTGGTGCCCCTTCTCCTCAAGGAGCAAACCACCCGGGTGCCCGGGCTCAACATCACCACCTGCCACGACGTGCTCAACGAAACCCTGCTCGAAGGCTACTACACGTATTACTTCTCGGCCTTCTCCGCCATCTTCTTCTTCGTGCCGTTGATCATCTCCACAGGCTGCTACGTGTCTATCATCCAGTGCCTCAGCTCCTCCACGGTCGCCACGCAGAGCAAGAAGACCCGGGCTCTGTTCCTGTCTGCTGCTGTTTTCTGCATCTTCATCGTGTGCTTTGGGCCCACCAACGTCCTCCTGATTCTGCATTACGCGTTCCTCTCCCGGGACCCCAGCACCGAGGCCGCCTACTTTGCCTACCTCCTCTGCGTCTGTGTCAGCAGCATAAGCTGTTGCATCGACCCCTTGATTTACTATTACGCTTCCTCGGAGTGCCAGAGGTACCTCTACAGCATCTTCTGCTGCAAAGAGAGCTCTGACCCCAGTAGCAGCAGCGGCCAGTTGATGGCGAGTAAAGTGGACACCTGCTCTACTAACCTGAACAACAGCATCTACAAAAAGCTGTTAACCTAGGAAAGGCGCTGCTGGAGGATGACCAAGGAACATTAAAAAAAACACACACAAACAAACAAAAAAACAAAGAACCTGAGGATTCTGTCAGTCCCTGCCAAGAAAGTATTTACTCTCAATAAATGTGTGATTTGCATGCCTCCTTCTTAAGAGGGCCATTAAGGGTGTATATATATATATATTTATGAGTAACAGAAAAGGGTAACATGAATAGGAAAAAGTTATCCCAAGATAGTATTGCCAATGCTATAATAATAATGGAATATTACTTTTTTATATATTTAGGTGACTTACATATGTGTGTGTGTATATATATATGTATAATACACATGCTTGCAATGCAGTATAGAACAGACACTTTGAAACCCTCTTTATCCCCACAAGAGATTATGGAAATAAACCTCCGCCACCTAGACCTTAATATGCAAGGTCTAGGTGGCGGAGGTTAGCCCTGAGCTCCTGAAGATGTCCATCAATAGTGAAGGACTCTGTAGTTTGGACTTAACATGGCTTTTGCAAATAACTTTATTTTTAAATTGTTCAACAGCTTTAAGTTATTAAGAGAGAAGAGTGCTATGTAGGTGTAGAAAAAGTAATACTGTTTTTCATTTTAAACATATCAAAGTTTGAATTCTTTAAATTATGGAGACATGATATGGGTAGCATTTTTTAAAAAATATTATGGTTTTCATTGATTTCGGGGATGAAGAGAAAGGAAGAGAGAGATAGAAGAATCAATAATGAGAGAATCATTGATTGGTTGCCTCCACGCACCTTACTGGGAATCAAGCCCACAACCCAGGTATGTGCCCTTGACGGAATCAAACCTGGGACCCTTCCCACAGGCTGATGCTCTATCCACTGAGCCAAACGGGCTAGGGCTGGGTAGCATGTTTGATGTTTTAACATTGTTTATATAAACCAAGAATGAGCATAGGCCCCACTAGTGACCTGAGGTTGGCCCCAGATAGAGGTCGTCAAGCAGTACATGTACATACATGGCAGGGTCGGTCCATCCAGACACCCTGCAGCTGAGCCGCCCAGAGAGCGCAGGAATTGGCTATGAATGACGAGTTTGGTAGAAATTGGCAGAATAAGATGTGCTATCCTGGGAGATAATGAATATGAAACACTTCTCTGCCCAATCCTTTTAAGAACAGGAAGAAGGCACGTTCACTTCCAGCAGTTACCCTGCAAGGTCCATTCTCAGATGGAGGCACCCATGGAGCAAGCGTGAACACCATGATGTGCTCCGGCACTCTCATGGGTGCTGGGCAATAGAGGTGAACAAGAATAGGTCCTCCCCTCAAGAACAAAGCAGACCAGACATAGAGTGTGATGTGTATAATAAGTATGTCGTTATATAGAGAAGTGTTTTCAGCCAAATGTCATCCAACCAGTTTCACACAGCCTGTCAGTTGAAAAACTTTGAACATGTGGATTACTGCTTCCTGTGGTCATAACTTGAGATGAAAACACAATACAATACAGGAAGTATATTTTTTACAAATAAGTCCTTCAGTCTATATAAATGGACACTGTTTATTTACAAATGTTTTCAATAAATTACCCAAGCCAGGTTTTGAAAAAGAATGATGTCAGTCTGATTAAAAATAACAGAAGAAAATTAAATTGACTTTCAATTCTAGCAAAACTATTCTGTATTTTCCATTCACTTTTCTTGTTAATGAAATCATTTTAAAAGCATTTTTTTCCCCTATGAGTATCAAGTATAGAAAATCCTCACGGATTTGACAAAATAATTTGAAAATTAGATTGAAATGTATCTTTTTTTCATATAAAAAAATATGTTGACATCTTAAACCAAGAAACGGAAAGTTCCAAGGCAAATGCTTACTTAAAAGAACAAACTATTTCCAAATGCCATAGAATAATTTACACTAAAGTATATTGTAGGTAGAAGCTAACATTGATTTTATTAATTTAGTTGCTGTATTCATTTTATCCAACTCAGTGGAGATTTACTGTCATCGTTTATTCAGTCTGTATATATATGAATATATATATATATTCCTCTGATTTAATATGACTATTACTACTTTATTATCAGTCTGTATTTATAAAACATTAATGTCACTTTTTATGTTCTTTTTTAAAAATGTGTGTAACCTGTATTAATAAACACAAAGGTTTGCTTGGTGCCTGTTTGGAACTCATTCTTATTGTATCTCTCGGGGCCCTGGCAGGAAGGCCAGTATCAAAGTTTAGCTGAAGAGCGTTTAATGAAGAGGTGGTTTGCAGAGGTGTGGGCTGGGTTACGTCACCAACAGGGGTTCGTGAAGCTCCTCAGGGACTAGCAGCGGGGAAGCTGCTATCACCCCAGGACCACAGGTGGAGGATGGACTACCCTGACCCCATTCTCTGATTTTTCACTGGTGCCTCCCATTGCTGCTGATCTTAACCCAAACCCAGAGGCCAAGAGGCCCTGGGTGACTTGGTCCATAAAGGAGCATGGCGAAGGGTTAGGGGTTGGGGGAGCACAATTTCTACCGAAGGCATTGGGTGGTTTGCTTTCTGGGTCTTTTTTTTTTTTTTTTTTTTTAATCCCTTCTTAGGAAAATTCAAGATTATATCATTGATATGATAATATGTTCAGGTTCTTAGGTTACAGGCACAGAAGATAGAGTTGGCAGTTCCTTCCTAGAGAAACAAATATCAGAGCCAGGATAATATATTGAGACCCAAAAAAGGAATGTCCTTGAGTCAGGATCCTTTGCCATCAAACTCTTTGGGGTAGAGGGAAGGAGGGGAAATGTTAAGCAAAAAGAATTGAAAATCAATAAAACTTCTGATAATGTATTTCTAGATTCATAGTCAATAGGGAAATTATTTCACCTAAATAAGAGTTCTAGGAACACAGAGATTTTAAGTTAACACACAAGTGTAGGTTTCTGGGGCCTGGGCCCCACACAGGCTTCAGGAGGAGATATAATGAAGGAAGTTGCCCAGCTTCACCAAAACAGGCTTCCCACTCTTAGCAGAAAGGGACCTTTAAACTCTTCTATTAGTTTTCAAAATATCTTTGAATTAAAAAAAAAATCACACTTGGAATTTGTTAACACAAAAATGTTTGTTTTTCCCACCAAGTCAAAAATAGGACTTTTAAGGAAATGGAATATTTGGCTGTTGACTATATAAGTGGAAATTTTTAGGTTATACTTCTGAATTTAAAAAATTAAGGAAAACGTTAGCACCTCCTTCAGGAAGTCTGAGTTCCGAAAACAAGTGGAAAAAGTTAAGCAGTGTGTGTGACCAAGCTTTTTCATTTTCTGAGACCTGCACCCTTCACTAGGAGCTTATCTCCACTGAGATGTCAGAGTGAAAATGAAGGGGGAACACAGTCATGACAGTAAGTTCCTGGCAGATTGGCATAGTTGTGTGGCCGCTCCTTTCAAAATGACGGCCTCGGGATCAACTTAATTGTGTTTTAATGCAGGGGTTGCAATTAAGTGAGCTGCAGTCAGAGCTGCGTGGAGAAATGTCCCAATGCAATGGTTTTTGGAGTCCTGGAGACCCTTTAGGACACATGTGGGGGCAAAACTACATTAAAACACGGAGACATTATCTGTCCTGTTTTGGTCTGATTCTCTCACGAGTATACTGTTGAGTTTTCCAGGGGCTACAAGATACCTGATGGTGTGACAGATTGATAATGCAGCAGGTAGGAAAATCTGACTGTCTCCTATTCAGCTAGCCAGTAAAGAGATTTGCAAACATATAAAAAGTGCAAATCTCCTCATTAAATTATTGCTTGGGGGAGGAAATACTTCCGCAGAAACTTTTTTTTATTTTTTATTTTATTGATTTTGTACAGAGAGGAAGGGAGAGAGAGAGAGTTAGAAACATCGATGAGAGAGAGTCATTAATAAGCTGCCTCTTGCACACCCCTACTGGGGATATGCCCACAACCAAGGTACATGCCCTTGACCGGAATCGAACCTGGGACCTTTCAGTCCCCAAGCCGACGCTTTATCCATTGAGCCAAACTGGTTTCGGCCAGAAACTATTTTTGTTAACATGTAATGGGGCTTGTTGTTATTTTTAAGTAAAAGAAATATTTTCCAGAGTTCTTTATTTTAATGTAGTAACTATTGGTAGATACAGTGTTTTGCTGTTAAATCTGATCTCCAAAAAAAAGCCCCTGCTTTTTTAGCGTTTGCCAGTTTCCATGATGTATATATACTCCCTCTATTGCCAATTTTAAGCTTCCAGTGGTTTAACAGTTGGCTTGAAAATTCCTTTATTTCTCATGAGCTGGTACAGCCTCTCACTGTAACCTACACACATGAAAACGTTTTAAATAATTTTTAATATTAAGGTGACCTGAGCTAAAAATGTTTTAGAACCCTGCTCTTATGCTAGATTTCCCAATGATATCACCTTCAAGAAGATGTGGAAACTGGTCACAATTATAAAGCACAGAAGGGGTGGCCAGTTGGCTCACTGCTGCAGGCCCCACCCTGGGGTTCTGTCAGCCCCACAGCTGAGGGGTCAGTAACTTGCTCCATAGAAACTGATTCCAGGCAGTGGGGCCTATGTGGCTGTGTGGTCCGAGGCTGGGAAGCTGTGTGTGAGGCCTGGTCTCCATCCAGCTGCCGTGCACCCCCACGGTGCCATCGCTATAAGGTGAGCATCAGGCTCCACGCTTCTTGCCCTGAGGACTGTTGTGACTGCACGCTGCTCTTCTGGAGACACAGAAAACCAGAGGTCAGAGTCAGCAACATCTTAGAACTCAAATAGCACAGTACGTGTCTACCCAGCTCTCCATGTGTTCATCACTTCAGGAAATGACTCATGAGCCCCAAGGAGATGAGCTTTGAAAGCTGCATTTAGCTGGAGGCACTGGGTGGTGGCAGGGCCCATGGGCCATTTTGTCCCTCTTAATAACCACAAAATTGGGTTCTTTTGTGTGCTGCTCTGTGTCCCACCCAGGGGAATGAGGACATGGCCAAAGGTGGGGTTGCCAATACTAAGGTGCATGT